CTCGATGCTCGCTGCCAGTGTGACGGTGGATGTTCCACTCAAACCCACTGAGTTCAGTGGGAGCGAAAGCAGCTCTCAGCTGGTAGGACTGGGAGAACGATGAATCAGTTGGCCTTTTCCCCCCTCAGGGATTTTCTGTCAGACAAACACCAACTGTTTCTGGGGCCCTCTAATGATCAGAGTTGGCGGGAGCTTTTAGTAGCAATTTGGAGTGATTTTGCTTGCAGGCTTGCTTGGACTAGGAACTGCTCTTTTGCTCCGTGCTTGTACAACCCATTGCATGACCGGCGCCTTGTCCGGGTTTGCAGCTCGTGAACACCACCGCGACACAAGTCACGAATTGTGTTTGTGCAGAGGTTAGCATGCTCACTCCCAACCCCCATCACTCCGACACATCCTTCTGCCTCTGTTGTTGGCTCTCCATACTCTTTCCCACCCCTAAACAATGCAACGGCCTGATGCGCGCAGTGAAACTAGTTCAAGGCTCCTGGAATTGCGATGGTGAAAGCAACAGCAATCAGTGCAAACCAATCGGCTTTGCAAACACAGGGCTGTTTCCCGAAATGCCCTGACATTTGATCCACAGCTTCAGCTGCTTTCAGCGTTCTTGGGGCTGGCAAACTGGCAGGACTGGCATGTTGCCAGCCTTAGCTGTTCCTCGCCTGATCTGTTCTGAAAAGAGAGGACATCAACCACAAGTCTGTATTCCCCAACCAACCCAAGCAGCAAGCAGCAGCTTGGGGAAATGCCTTGGTTACTGGAGGGGTTACAGTTTTACCTTCCTCCAATTCCTGTGTTTGTACTTTTATAAATACCAGCAGCAACCTCAGGACAAATGTAACAGTGACTCTGACGGTTTGGCAGGAAAACGTATCATTTGTGTTGCATCACGTTAGCATCCTATTTTATGCCTGCTCCAAAATGGAGCGTTGCTGAGTGCAGCTTGCCATATGTTGTTAAAATATGGTTAAAATAAGCTGAGTTTTCTGTTCAGAGTCTTATATTATTTGAAGCACATCGTCATCGTTGGGTGCATTATAACATTATAGCCAGGTTTTTTTCCAAAATTAAAAAGCAGAGCAGTTGGTCTTGCTAATGTTCTGGAGACAGCTGCTGTGTTCTGCAGATATAGAGTTATTCTGCATGACGGCATCCAGGAAGCCACAACAGTCTAGGAGCATGCCCAGGAATATAGACAATGTGTATAGGCATCTGAACTCCCTGAGGACACAGCTGAGAGCGATGAGGCTGGGAAGGGTGTGAGCAGAGCAAATAATAAGGGCTCATGGACAGGCAGGGAGCATCGAGGCAAGCTCCCCTGCACTGCCCTTCTGATGTGACTCAGCCTTGAGCTGGAAGGACTGCAGGCGGTGATGTCTCGTCCTGGCATGCCGTGCAGTCCTTGGGCTCTCTCGTGCAACTCCCAACCTGGGAGCCACAGTCTGGGCCATCTGTGGTAGTGGTTTGTTGCCTAGGGGCTCCTTTTCCTTGGGACCAAGGCCAAACCACAAAAAAAGGTTTGAAGATTTAGAATGTGCTTTTTACCTCTGCCATTTTCCCAAAGTTTCTCTCTCTCTGAATGGCAGATGATATCACAGGCATCCAGTTACATTACCATTTACAAGGAGAAAAACCAGATGTTCAAACAAATGTTTATCACAAAGCTGCCTGGGACCCCAGTTTCCCAACCCTCCTTGGTGAAGTAACAACGGTGATTATTATGCAGCAAAACGAAGCCTCGACTTTTACGATGACTGTCTGGTTGAAGCCCTCTGTGCTGCAGGGCTGGCAGGGGAGGCCTGGCTTATCAAATGAGCTCAAAGCAAAGCTGTGCTTTGGCACTGCAGCTGCATTGCTACAGATGTGGAGGGAGAGAGGCAGCTTGCCTCCAGCAGGGCCAGCAGCTGCCACTGCTCACTCATAAAAACAAGAACACTAAAATCTGCCAAGGAAAAGATACGTCCACTGTTATGCAGCCAACTGTTTCCGTCAGTGGGTGCTCTCCACCCCAGAGGCGGATGCATTTCAGATATTCCACATATAAAGAGCTTGTAAGGCACTGGATATCCTTTGGACTGAAGAGTGCTATATAAAAAAAAAAGTAAGATGACTTTTATTAGCATCTAAACGCTATAAGGACTGATGATCTAAAACTGCCTGAAGAGTTCACTGACACTACAGGCCACCTTGGGCTCTATCTACTGGTAACACTTCTGTTACCGCATTACTGCCCTTCCTCCTCTCCAGCTTCAAGATGTAAGACACATGCTTACTGTGGAGCTATTTTGCTCAATGGATGTCCACAGGCAACGTAGAATTAACGGGTACGCGAGAGGGTCTCAATGCATTGAAAACAGACTTTGTGTTTCTTCGAGGTTGTCCCGTTCCAACAGTTCATCCTCTGGCTGAAACAAACCTTGATTGATGAGGTCACTAATGATTTCCATAGCAGTTAGTTGATAGCACAGAGCCCGAGCTCCAGCATCAGAGACAATCAATGCTGAGAAACCACCAGATCCTGTTTGCATGCAGATTTTTCTCCTGTACCTCTCAAGTGACCTGCATTTCATACTAGCATCCCATTGACTCACGAGATTTCTGAACTGGGTCAGTGGGTTCTCTTCATTTAACAAACCATTAAGAGCCTTTTAAAAATCTGCAGAGGCTGAAATGCTATTCATAGGCTTCTCGGGCAGAAGAGGGGAGCTGCAGAGAGGGCAGCTGCAGAGCCTGACAAGGCAGCCTCAAGCCCTGTATTTTCCTGGAGCGGCATTCAGGAAGGAGAGTCATCTTAAGGGGATGCACCTACTCGATTCAGGCCCCAAATCTTTATCGTGGTTGTTTGCACAAATGGGGCTTTATAAAACTTCAGATCAGCCAAACTGTTTCCATGGCTTTATAATCCCATTGAGAAGGTTTTCCCTTGGCTGTAAGCTTTCCCCTGCGGCCCTGCACCACTGCAAGAGAGCCCAGCAAAAGAAACTAGGAAGAGAAGTGAAACTGGTTAGACTATTATCAAGAACCAAGCCCAGGAAGATGCAGAAAGTCAACAGAGTTGCAATGGTGAATAGTAAACAGGGGTTTTTTGTATTCTTCTGGACTGTAATAACTAGATGTATAATTTGCAATGTAGTAAGGAAGCAGGAGGGGCCTTAAAGTGCAGCATTTGTGAGTTTAGAGACTTCTCCCTGGGCCTTGATCCTGAAACTGGATCCCCTTGGGTCCAGAGATCTGCCTATGCCAATCCAGCTGTAGGATCAGGGCCATAACTGTTTTCTCTTGCAACCTCTTTTCAGATCCGTGATGTAGATCTTTCCCCCAGCCCACCCAGTAAGAGCATCCTAGCTGCTCCTGTCTCCAGGAGACACTCTGCCCGTAATTATTTCCAATGGTTAGCACAGATGCAGGGAATTCTGCCCATGAAAATAAAGTCAATCTGTTTTTCCAACTCCAGAGTATTTAGCTATTTCCTTTTGAGCCTTCTGACTTGCAATCCTATTGGGTAGGAATTAAAATAAGTCTTTAGTGAACAGCTAAATGCTGGGCAGAAAAAAAATAAAGTAAAGCGATCAGCTTTGCCTCAATACCTAGCTCCTCTGCTACCACCCCTGCAAAGACTAACGACAGTGGCACAAAGCACCCACCAGGCATTTGATGTCAGATCGCGGCTGCGCAGCCTACAGATCTCAAGAAGGGAAAGAAAAGGTCACTAATACAATTTATGGAGCATCTGGTTTGTTCTGACATTCAGCGAATGCATAATGCGGATAGCATGATTTCACATGGACTATTTAAACCCTGATGTTTCCATTTGGGGGGCTAGAAGCTCCTTTACAAAGGCCCTTTTACAACACCCCACTTTATGATGTTGGAAGAGTGTAAAGGGACCTTCGCATGAGTATCCAGCCCCACAAACACACACACCAGACATGTATACTGCATTTAAATCCATACCGTTGAGCCCACAGTAGCCAGGAGGTCCCTACAGACAGTCCTGTTTGCCAAGCTTCTGAAAATAAATTTAAAATGCTGAATTACCAGGAAGGCCAGGTCACACCCACAGGCAGGGTTTGACTAAGAGGATCAAATGTTGGCTACCCTTTTCTTACCTTCTGTGGCTTTGTTTACAGCTGTTAAGGTATTCAGGACCCTGGAGAAATTCTCTCCCGCATACAGATCATGTGCCTCAAACACCTGTGAAAGAGGAAATTTGTCAGCGTAACGCAAAATATCTTACTAGCACAACCTTACTTTCAGTCAACCACGGCGAGGACCGAATAGTTAGGTACAGCTGGCATGTCTGCAGGGACAGGAAGTTTCTCTGGAGCTGATTTGTTCAACTTGCTTTCTAGTTGGAGAGTTTCTGGGGTCCAGCTGGCAACAGGTACCGTAACAGGGGTACGCGCCTCCACGGCAGCAACAAACAAGGTTCAGATCTCGGAAAATGGGGCTGTTTGCTTTGAGAAGAGGTCGCTTTCCACTACCAAGTTAGTCATCGAAGCCAAAGGGGCCAAAGCTGCGAACAGCTGCAAGCAAAGGTCCTAAACCCACCAGAAGCTCTACGCGGACAACACGGCACACTCACAAATTACTACCACAGGCGGCACACGCTGGTTGTACTGGTCGTCCAGTATAGAAGATAGTCCATCCTGAAGAGTCGAGTTAGCAAGTGGAAAACTACACCTAGACGGGGGTGCTAAAGGTTTTTATGTCCATGCCAATGCTCTACTGGGGTCAGTGGATCTTCTGGACCTGATCCTGGCCATTTCCCAGAGATGAGGCAGTCTGGTTTTTCACAATGCTAGTCACCACCCCGCTCCTCAACAGGAGAAATTTATTTTAGATCCTATGCAAATCCTTGCCCTTCTGGACATGATGCACGGAGCATGTTCTGGGTGTGCATTTTACCCTAGCTGTGCACAAAACACACTCCAACGCAAGGCACTCTCTGCTCGCCAAGAGAGATGCTTTGGCTCGGGGCTTGAGCTACAGATCAGCAAACCCAACAAGCCTGGAAAGAGCTTCATCCCTTCCAGCCAGAAGATCCATTCCCTCAAAGTTACCCTTACAATAGGGGCTCAGTCTTTTTTGCTTCCCATATATAACTATGGATGCATTTGACAAATTCTTTGTAAAGCATCAGGGAAAAGTGCCCCCACTCCAGGCTCCCATAGTCTCCTCTGCTCAGCATATCTGCCACACACATCGGCACAGTACTCCGGTACGGACACATTGCACAGCTGTCAATGAAGGCAGTAAAACGAGCTCTTGGCTTTAAAAACAAAAAAAAAATCAATGTAAGCACTTGCTACCTGCAGTCAGGCTTTCTAGAAGAACATTACCTATCAGAAGAGGTATTAAGCAATATTAAAAGCAGACAGCTGCAGCGCGCACACTAATACTCACACTCCAGTAAGCTGAACGCTTCCCGAAGGCCAAGGAAGCTCCCTGCTTCTACTGCGCGGCTCTGGACTAACCCGTGCTTGCACAATTCAGGGAGATTTTTACATACCTGCAGCTACTCCAAGCAGATGGGCTAATATCTGCGTTGCATTTACTCTCAGGTCTGTTTCTATGAGGGCCACAGAGATGCCATCCTCTCTCCGACGGGAGAGACGGTTAAGGAAAGCCCGGCAGGACAGCGGCAGTGCCGACTGTGTGATGTGACAGTAGCAGGGCGTCACTCTCCTGCCAAGCCAACGATCACAGTAAACGCGGGGGTTGTGATGTTTGCTGCCGTTTCCCCGGGTGTATCATTTTCTCAGTCACGTCCTTTTTTTCTTCCAGTTCAGCAGGAAGAAGGAAAACGAGCCCGGACTCGAATAAGCAGCATTGATATTTTAGAAAGGAGTGAATGAGAGAAACGATGCAAGGGATCGATGCTCTCTCCATGCACAGGGTGAATCTGTGAGGCTTGCGTACCTTGAGTTAACTCACGGACGACGTGCGTGCGTGCGTGAATGCGCATGCATCTAGTCACAGACTGTGTGCGTGCATGTGTGTATACTGAAAAAGCACAGGAAATGAGGGTTGAAGGGCCCTCTGGGGGGTCACGTCTGGGCCAACCCCCTGCTCAAAGCAGGATCAGCCCCAAACAGGCTGACAGCACAAGGAAATCAGACAACTTCTAGGGCCGATCTAGACTGAGACACTGACTGGAAGGGCCACTGCAGAACAAGAGCATCTGCACGAAGAGCCAGTCCCGAGCAGCAACCGCAACTCCCTGCCTGCTCCTCTGGCGCTTGCCTCCCGGCCTTCTCCTGCAATCCCAACCCAATGCACCACATCCCTTTTTTTTTTTGCATCGAGGAAGAGCAGCAAAGCCAGGAGCAAAATCCTGCCGGACTACAAAAGAGCAGGCCAACTCCTCTGCTGCAACCAGGGTCCTACCCCGTCCTGCATGCGCCGGGCGCTTTTCCTACATGAGGAAAGACCCCCCACCCCCTCCGGCCACACTGGGGGCATGCGCATAAAACCGCTGGAGGGAGCAGATTAAAGCCAGACTGGAGCATCCTTCCTTGCTTTTGGGGGTTCAAAAAGCAGAGCACCCCTCTGTTGCACAGGAGCTGCTGCTTCCTGCGGGGAAGAGGACAAGGGGATGGGGATGGGATCCCCCCCCCCCAAACACTGGAGCCGGTCTAAGGCGAGGTACCGTATTGACCCAAAGCGCCGGTCTAAGGCGAGGTACCGTATTGACCCAAAGCGCCGGTCTAAGGCGAGGTACCGTATTGACCCAAAGCGCC